ATATATTGGAATATTTGCTTTAAAAAAATGTATGTTCTCTTCCTAGGTTTTTCTTAGCTCTATTTTTTTCCTATCTTTTATTATGGAAAATTTCAAACTATCCAAAAGTTTAAAGAATAGTTTAATGAGGTTCCACATACTTGTTATGCACGTACAGTAATTATCAAATCATGGCCCTTTTTATATTTATTTTTTCTTCATTCCTTTTTACATTGATTCTGTTCCGGTTCAGTAGTAAAGTTCGCTCTACTGGATGATGATAAATGCATTTCGACTGTTAATACAGGTTCAGTATCTCTAATTCAGAAACCCAAAATTTGAAATGCTACATAATCAGAAATTTTTTGAGCACCAACATGGTGCGCAAAGGAAATGCTCACTGAAACATTTTGGATTTTGGAGTTTCAGCTTAGGGATGCCAAACCAGTAATGCAAATATTCCAAACTCCAAAAAATCCAAAATCCAAAACACTTGCAGTCCCAAGCATTTCAGATAAGGGATAGTCAACCTGTATCTACTTGATTCTGCTAAATACATCATCCATAAAAATCAGAAGACTAAAGGAGATTATTTGTTCTTTTGTTTACTTTAACACATCCAGAAATAATAACATCTCAATTTTATTAGGTTGAAATTCCAGTTTTACAAGTCAAAAATGGATGAATATTACCAATTTCATGTGGTTCAATCCTGCAGTCAGAAAACTCTTAATATATGGAACAGTAGTTCTCAGTCTGAAGAATATATCGGAATAACCTTGGAAACTTTTTAAAAATACTCAAAACACTACCTACCATATCTAATTTCTCCGAAGTTGAAGTCCTAACTTGTATATCCCCTCAAAACTCCCCCAAGTGGTTCTGGTATGATTAAGACTACTGTCTAAAGTAATTCGCCCCCCAGTTTAAGTTTGCGGAAGGTAAAGTAGTGAACAGCCACACCATGTTGCCTGTGCTGGGCAAGTGTGTGCACATGGAAGTGCCTTGCACTGCGAGTGGTTCCCCAAATACTGGCTGAATTCGGATCTGTGATAAATTTTGTCTGAATTAACTTGAGTCATAGGATCAACATGGCCTGGTAGCTCTCTAATTGAAAGAAAATATTTCTATTCTTCTGCATCTCTCTTCCAACTCATTTGCCTTAAGATCACCCTAATAAGAATATCCCTTTCTGTCTTCTAAATTCTGTGGTTGAATTCTCCATTACTATGTTGTTTTTATCTGGGAATGAATATCTTCTGCCTCTCCCCTTCTTCTCACAGCTACCAAACTTTCAGTTAAATGGAGCAGATACTAGGTACCATCACTGCTGTCCTGATCATTTATTCTGAGCTCTGCAAGTAAAATGTGACCCTAAGACACTGTATCATTTATCAGTGCATCTTGAATTTCTTATTCCAGTTTCTTTTCTTTTTTCTTTTTTGTTAAGACAGAGTCTTAACTCTGTCACCCAGGCTAGAGTGCAATGGTATCATCATAGCTCACTGCAACCTCAAACTCCTGGGCTCAAGCGATCCTCCTGCCTCAGCCTCCTAAATAGCTGGGACTACAGGCATGCGCCACCACACCTAGCTAATTTTTCTATTTATAGTAGAGACATGGTCTCACTCTTGCTCAGGCTGGTCTTAAACTCCTGAGCTCAAGTGATCCTCCCACCTCAGCCTCCCAGAATGCTGGGATTACAAGGGTGAGCCACCACACTTGGCCAGTCCAGTTTCTTATACCACTGTGGGTAGCACGCAATCTCTCAGACTCGGTCTTCTTTTATTTGTTTTGACTAAACTAAGAGTTACTCTGTCATCATTATAATATGACCTTATATTAACTGAGTATTTTTAATTTTTACATTTTTTTCAGGTATCCAAGAGAATCTAACAAATTAATAGACCTTCCGGAAGATTACAGCAGCCTCATTAATCAAGCATCCAATTTCTCGTAAGTTTTGATATTAGAGCATTGAACATTCCCTGCCACTGGAAACACTTACCTCTCTACAAAGAATTTGAGAGATTTTGTTACTGCTCTTTGTTTTGTTTGGGTAGGGAAGTCATAACATCAGTAGTACTACATACTACCTAACTTGTAAAAGCATCATTCCACCATGCATCAGAATAAGATACAGAATAAGGATGATAGGGGGCAAATTTGAGTCACAAAAGGTTATCTAAATATTAATAATAATTGTACTTTAAAATAATAAGAACTTGGCATACAAGCAGCATAGAGAATTAATACAGTAGTATAAGAACTTAAACATTACCTAGACAGTTGAAGCTCCCTGGCTATCTCCTCTCTGTTGCCTCCTCTTCCTTCCTTCCCCTGCGGATATCTACTGTTCTAAGTGGAGTATTAAGCATTCCTGTG